CAAAATGTGATTCTTTGTTCTCCGTCCCCTGGCTTTAGTCCTTGCACAGGTTGCAAATGGTAAGGACGCCTATGGTCATTTCTAAGAACACGGTGAACATGGCTTGCTGAAATTCCCAAGGCACCAGAAACTCTCCTAACACTTGTGGTCGGATCTCTATCAAACTCACGCAGAATCATACGGGTAAATCTGCGCTGACGAACATTTATGTTTTGATCCCTGTGGAGATATCCAAAACCATTTTCAATTATTTGGCGATGCACTCTTACAAATACTGAGCGAGTTGGATGTCGTCTATTTGGAAATCGTCGTGCGTATTCTCTGGCTGCTTCTACTGCGTTTCCATTTACAAAGCCATACACAAAATGAATATCCGCTAACTCTTGATTGGAGAATAAAAATGGCATTTTTATAAAACTTACAAAAAAAAACAGGTAAAAGAAACTAAATTTCGTGCATTCACAATTGCAAAAAAACGTTTCGGGTTTCAACAGACAACAAAACTAACTGTCAACTAATTGACGTTTAACCTTATTCTGGTTTCAATTTCAAAAATATTTGCAGGCACAGCCTACTTCTAAAAATTATCGAGATACTGACTTTTTAACGTTATTTTATCATATATAATTAAAAATGCATCCAACCATAAAAATCGAAATATCTCAAAAACGGCTAACTATAACGAAAATTCACAAGAGAGCTCTTTTATGTTGAAAAGTGCGAAGAATCAGTTGTTTTATTCAAAAAGCAAAAAATTGAACTAAGAAAAAATTTTCGGTCATTTTAATACACTACAGGTACAGTAGAGAGCGCCCTCTAGCGGCTACAGTAAAACTATGCCCATGGTTCGTTTTGTCGTACCAAAAAACCCTTGTATACCAATTTTCACTATTATACATCAAATATTGTTCGAAATATTAAAAAAAAATCTATTTTAGAAAGTAAATTTATACACCCTGTATTTGGAATCCACGCATTTTTCGACCCATGTTTATATACACTTTATGCATTAATTTTAAAGTTCTATCGAATCTTAAAGTTATGCAACAATAAACTGAAACACCCTGTATATTTATACTGTACAAAGTTGGCATCAGATTTATACCTACTGGTATTACTGTTGGTATTACTTATTAGATTTGTCAGTTTAATTTCGAAGAACTCAAAATATCTGATACGGATACAGCTGATGAAGTGGTTGGTACAAGCTGCACACCGCCTAAAAAGAGAGCTAAAAGGCTTCGTTTTAGCGTTAGCGAAGAACAAATAATTATCAACATTTATATACGCGAAATGCAAGGAAGGAGTGACTCAAGTGGTCAGGACATTGTTTGCAAAGTAGCAAGTATTTCGGGCGTTAGCCGTGCAAGTGTTTACCGAATTGTTCGGAAGTACAGGTCTAACCATCGACCCGTCGACCCAAAAAAGTATCTGCCAAGAAAAAATCAACGATGCCATAGATGTCTTCGACAGTACCGCCATAATGAGAATTGAACACAATTTTTTCCTTCGTAATGAATCACCAACGGTGGATAAAGTGCTGAAGCTGGTTAACGAGGATAATGACGCCAAGTTTTAAGAGATCTACCGTCCATAAATTTCTAGAAGAAATGGGGTTTCAATACAAAAAAGCGAGGAAGGAACAGTCTTTTATTGGAAAAAGATGAAATAGTTATCTAGAGAGCGGACTATCTAAGACAAATCAGAAAATTTCGTACAGAAGGTAGGAAAATATACTACCTAGATGGGTTTTTAATGCTTTCAATGGGAGCAGTTTTGAAGTGTCCAAAATGAATTATTTTCAGGAAAGGGGAAGCGACTGATAATTTGCCACATCGGTAATGAAGATGGATGCTTTATAGGCATTTGAATCCCGAAGCTTGAAAATAATTCGGTTATAGTATTAGATAATGCTTCATACCACACGAGAAAATTAGAGAAAAATTCGTCAACTAAAAAATATGAAATTCAAGGATTGCTTAAAAATAAAAAGATTGATTATGATGATACAATGGTTAAGGCAGAATTGTTAACAATTGTCAAGACGCATAAAAATAAATATAACCTGAACATAATTGATTAAATGGCCAAAAAAAACGACTGCCTTCTTACGATTGTGAGCTGAATCCCATTGAGCTAATTTGAGCAGACAAAACTATGTTGCAGCAGAAAATAAAAGTTTTTAATAATTTCATGATGCTATACAAAGAATAATACCAATAAGTGGGATAATGTATTCAGCACGTAAAAAAAGTATGTGGGAATTAGATGGTATCATTGATACGTACGTTGCCCCTTCAATTATAAATATTGATGACAGTGGAAGTTCCACGGCCTCAGATCTAGATTGATTTTCATTTTCAAATACATGAATTTCCAGTTTTAGAGGTAAAATGTCTGTGCAATAAATTTTTGTATAATATTTAGGGTATAGTATTATGTACTCAAATACTTTTTCTTTCAACCCCACCTATCTATTCATTTTTTTGTCTAAAATTTGAATTAACTGTTTGCACACTGACGTCCCTGTTCAAGCGGTGGTTAGGTATATGCATATGCAATTATTGCTTTAATGTGTTAAGGTATTTCGAGTATAATTTCTTGATAAAACACTTCTACTAAAAACAACAATAGACAGTTGTTTTTTGGTCATGACAGTTAAATTAAAAAAAAAAATATGTATATTGATTCCAAGCTTTATGTTTGGATCCTATACATGCCCGCAATAATTTTGCATACTTATTGATCGAGTCGTAAAACCACAAATTATTTATTCTTAGTACCGCCCTGTAACGTGCTCGGCCTTCTTTAGCGCGATCACGTGGAGTATACGTGAATATGTTTAGGTTTGGTCTCTGTCTTCCATGGATACATAATAGTAAGCGTGTTTAATTAGCGGAGCTAGAAACGTATAAATATACAAGTACTAACCCAAAAAGCTGAAATAAATCCTCAAACACCCCCTGTAGCCTTCACCATCCATTCCCAAAAATGGGCAGCTGTCTCTGAAAGGTCAAAAGACAAAATTTGAGCAATTTTCATTTCTTCCTATGCCATTGGCTAGGAAGTATTGTAATATCGAAAATTAGAACTTATATTAGGTACTTTTATGTTATATGACCTGTAAATCACGAAAAACCATGTAATTCATTTCCGTTGATCTGTCTTAGAGTCTGCCTGCCTGTCTGTCAGTTTGTGCGCTAAATAATTTTGATGAACCTTTACACAAGGTTACTAATATGGCGGCGGAGCTAAAGGCCTAAAATGGAGAATTCGTTTTAACTACCCACAGTTACTGAGGAGGAAGTCTTCTAGACGCAAAAAAATAAAAATGAAATCATGTTCTTTGGATATAATTTGACTTGTACCTCACAAAGTTACTATCAATGACAATACAACTTTATCGTTTTTGAAAATCGGTCTAATGGCGGCGGGGAAAAATGCTAAAAATGAAAAATATAAAAATCGCTCAAAGTTCCATCTTTGACATTTCAGAGGATTCTGATGTTTTTTTTTTAATTCTTCAGGTGTAAAGAATTGAGGGAAGGAGGTTCTAGGGGGTGAAGGAGGGTGTATAGTAATTTTTTGATGTGAGTGTATCAATACACTTCCATCGCTGCAGACCGAGTTATCTTTTTCATGAAAAGCCCAAATGGTGCTCTAATGATTTTGGCATAATTTAAAACATTTGGTGCCATTGCACTTTATGGAAAGCTGTATGAGGAGCCGTGGTGCCATTTCTAGGGAATTCTCCTAGTTCTAGGGAGAATTTACGATGTTTTCTAGTTCTAGCGACTTTTAGGGAAATAGGGAAATTCTAGGGATTTTTTACCGTTCAAAAAAAAGATTAATGAATAATTAAATTCCAATCTATATTGCAAATACATAAACGGACCCTGTTAACATAATTGTTAAATAAAACAGTATACAGCTTTGCTAATTACAAGGTTGGTTGCACTGTACATCTTCTGTGTGAATCGTGAATCACCGATAAGTTCTCCGCCACCGACGACTGTATTACGCATACCCAGTTTAATTTTAAAATGTGACGCGACGTTTTGACGTTTTGCGTGCGTTTAATGTGAATATTAGGACGGTCAAATTAAAAAAGAATCTTTGTTCAAAGTTTTTAAGTTTAGTTTTGTGATGATGGAGTCCGATACAGCAGAAAATTCTGATCAAATGAAGTTACATAATATATTATAAGTAATCAATAGCTGATATATTTTTAAAATCGTAGGGATCAACCCTCTACATCACGGGTCACAACTCCTATAAAAAAGAGGAAGATTCGGCATGAAATAAAGCAAATATCCTATGAACAAAAGTTTAAAGTACAATGGTTGGAAGACCCTAAATTTGCAAATTGGTTAAAAAAACACCCAGGCAATGAAACCCTTTGTATATGTAGTACATGCGAATCGACTTTGAAATGTGGGAAATCCGAATTGGAGAAACATTTAGCAACTGAGAAACATACAAAAAATCATATCAAAAAAGAGGGGTTATCTCACTAGACGCCTTTGTAGAGAAGAAGTCCGGACATTCTAAAAAAGTATCGGAGGCAGAAATCAAATTGTCCTCGTTTTTTACCCACCACAACGTGGCTTTTCAAGTGGTGGATCATCTGATACCAATTCTAAAAGACAGTTTCCCGGATTCCAACATATTGAAGGATTGAAATTGGGACGCACTAAAACGACAAGTGTCATAAAGAATGTCATTGCTAAGAAAGAAAGCGAAGATTTGGCCGTAGTTTTGCAACAAAATTTCTTCAGCGTACTTATTGATGAATGCACCAATAAATTTGTTAATAACAGCGGCTTAGCATGCGACCGATTGCTAAAAGTAATAAGTATCGACGCTAAAAACGCTAACGCTGAAAATTTGTATACTGCCTTTAAAGAATGTTTAATATCTCAAAATATACCCATAAAAAATGATATAGGTCTTGCATGCGATAATGCTAGTGTAATGCTTGGCAAAAATAACTCATTTTTAACAAGGTTACGTGCAGAGGTAAATGCCTTGATAGTCTTACCATGTATTTGCCATTCATCAGCACTTGTTGCGAGCAGTGCCTGTTCAAAGTTGCCTCGAACGCCGGAAGAATTTGTAAGAAGTATTGCTAGTTATTTATCCTATTCTTCAAAAAGAACAGCTCAGCTTATGGAAATGCAAAACTTCTTTCAAACTGAACAAAAAAAAAATGTTGAAATTGTCAACAACAAGGTGGCTTTCGATGCAGCATTCTGTACACAGAGTTTTGGATAACTAGCTAGTACTTTATAATCATTTTCAGGTTGCTAAAGTTGAAGAAAATTCAAAATCTGTAGATTTCGTATATGAAGAATTTAACAATCATTGCACTAAAGCAATCCTGTTATTTTTAAGCTATATTTTGAATTTTTTTAACCCCTTCAATGCACTATTCCAGAGCAAGAAACTTTTAATTTATGATTTATCTTTTGAGTACAAAAAATTTTTCAAGCAAGTGATTGCACATTATATAAAGCCCGAGTATTCAACTGATTTGAAGCTTAACTACACAAATCCACGATATTTTGTTGATTTAAAAGATCTAGATCTTGGTAATGAATGTAACGCTTTTGTTTTGAAGTTGCCTGACAACGTTAGAAAATCAATTCAAAAGTCTTGCTTAGAGTTTTTGATAACTGCCGCAACGGAAATGCAATCAAGATTTCCTCTTTGTGATGATTTTTTTGATTGCCTTACATTTTTAAAGCCCCACATGGCCCTCAGTCTCGATAAACCTGAAAACATAGTCTCATTAAAAGGTGCATGGAACAAATTTGCTTCTGTTATTGATGGAAACAAAGTTGACCGAGAGTGGAAAAATATTGCTATAAATTTTTCAGATAAGGCTACATTAAAAGAACATTACTTAAAGTTATCTGTAGAAGAATTCTGGTATAAACTGGGTAATATAAAAAATTTTAATGACGAGCCTGAATACCCTAATATTTGCAATTTGGCAAAAATGTGCATGGCCCTCCACACAGCAATGCCCAGACAGAAAGAGTATTTTCTGTAGTAACAGATACGAAAACAAAAAAAGAAACAAAATAGGAAGTGAATCATTAAATGTCGTATGTGTTACAAGATTTTCGTCTGATAATTGCTGCCAGTCATTTAAAGTAACTAGTGAGCATCTTAACCTAATGAGCCAAAAAAATTTGTACTCGAAAGATTAGTGGCAAGTAATGTATTATCTTAAGTTAGATAATTAAGAAAGTTCCGTTTTTTAATCTAATAAAGTGTTATTTTTAAATGTAATTTTTAATATATTTTTGTTAAACCATATTATGAATTCAATTTGTAATACAGAAAAAAATGGGGGTGGCGAGTAGACAGAAAAAAGAGGGTAGACTTAGAAAATAAAAATAGAATGTTAGGGATTTTTAGCAGTCTGGCAACACTGACGAGGAGTTGTTTTGAAGACGTGGGGTGTTCGACTGACCTGATGACAGCAGTTGCATGGGAAGTGCAGAGTCAAAATACTTGACGCCTTTTCTTTTTACCGAAACTCCGCCGTCAGTATTTCGGACAGACAGACAGACGGCAATGAATGACACGAGTTTTCGTGGTATAATATTTAAAAAAAAAAATGTCTCATTTTCGAAATTTTCGAGATCACAATACTTCCTCTCCAATTGGCGTGGCAGTGAAAAGCAATAAACCGTTCACACCCATATTTAGTAGCCCTTCCTTCAAAGGTAGCTGATGAATGAGTGACATGTTCTCTTTGATGGAAAACATTCCAATCAGCTTACTTGGCGAAAAATGCGATTCGCACATTTTCCCATTTAATTGGTAATCGAAAACGGCATTGGCGCGCGACAAAGCGATCACCTGTTAAATTGTTTTTTGGCAACAGCATCAAGTTAGCCGGCGGACCGCACTAACTAATTAATAAACAAATGAATAACGCGCTGCTAGCACGATGAACCAGTTATTTTGATAGATTTTCTGGGACAACGAACCTACCTGTTGGATCAACAGGCCCTTTATGATGTTCAAAGTAAATACGAGGTGGAGCAGACGAAAATTAATATGTTTTAATACTAAACATGCCAGAACAGGTCAAAAGGCAGGTTATGGATATTTGCATTATCGCTTTTGCACAATTGCATTCATGATTTATTTCTTTCTATATTATATACAGTTAATTATCGATTATTGTGTTTTATTTGCATTTTGTTTGTTTTGAGTAATTCTTGTCGTATCCCGTTATCTCCCACAACCGGTCATTTGACCGGCTCTGGTATAAGTATGTATGTATAAGTGCTGGTATGTTTGGTGTTAATTTAATTGTGATTCCATTCATTTAGCCACCAATGAGAAAAAAAGCGTGATGATGCTCGTAGCTTGCCACGCAAAGTTAACACTGAACATACCAACACATACATACCTACTTCCAGCAAAGCCGATCAAATGACCGGGTGTGATATAGGGTGTTTCAGAACTATGGGATCAAACTTGTAGGGGTTATATAGCCTCATCAATGTGACGTGTGCTACTTGATGGTTCATCGGTAACTCGCTGAAGGACCTCTTCTTCAAATTCGACCGTTCTTACGGTTCGAGCAACCAGTATCATGCATGTTGGTTTTAAACATGCCTGTCTCGGAGAGCCGCCGATGAATAGCAATAAACTTTTTGTATCCCGGATGCTGCCGTTCGGGGTAACGTTCTTGACACAACCGCGCTGCTGCTCGTGCATTGCAGCTTGTCGCTCCGTATGCCAAATGCATATCCGCCAATTCTTGATTGGTAAAGTTTTGCATTAGCAACAAATACGATAGCACGACTAAGGCGCTATGGAATGCAGCTACAAAAAACAATCTTTGTTATCGTTTTTAAAGATAACAACACACAAGCGCCGGATATGGGTCCCTATACTCAAATGTTTTCTACTGTTACACTGAATTGATCCCTTAGTTCTGAAGCACCCACCCACCCACGTATACTTACCGTAACAAGTATTACCTAAAATGAACAGAACACAAATAGAATGTTAGCTCTGCTTATTAATAGAAAAAATCTTAGGTGATACGTGCAAAGCGACAAGATGACATGCTTATTTTCAATTCAAAAGTTTCTCACCGGTCCTTTGACTGGTAATCGTATATTTAGTGTTAACATCGGTCAATCTCAGTTTTTCCACAGAAGTTCTCCCGGCAAGATTGACGATGAAACACTTTTATGGTATCGTAAAACAAAATTGATTTTTTTTAGGAAAAAGAGGAATAAGTAACATCAGAACAACACTGTATTTATTTTAATAGAATAGTAGCTACTCATATGAGAGTGAAGTGTGGTTGCGGTATAGTGTGACACAGTATTTCCATTTTTTATACTAGTAGCTCCAACATAATATGATTTAAAACCCAAATCTTTCTGCTGAAAAGAATGATCTTGTTTGATTTGATGACAGACGTTATTGAGGAAAAGATTCCTACCCAAGTATTGTTTGTTTATGATGCTACTTCCGATGTACCTACTAGTTGCGCCATAAAACTAAACATTCAGTTAGACGTATCTAGCGATGAACATAACATTTTAGCTTGATTTTCGAAATTACTTTTTCAAAACTAGCAATTACCTAATTTGTACTTTTTTAGGAAATATACATAGTTTTATATTTTTAACGTGTAAAGTGAAAACAATACAAGTTTTGTGAATATTTTTAGACGTCGTGAACTGAAGATTTTAAAAAAAGTGCATAAAACGTTGTTTGAACGTTACATAGCTTGAAAATAGCATAATCGTGCTTTTCTGAAGAAAGTACGTAATATTTTACTTACGGCGGGGAAATACCTCCATGTCTTTTTCAATATTTCTGAGGCTCATGGTAATTCACAAAATATTAAAGAAAAGTTGATCAAAATTCGAGATAGCGTTTCTATCCATACATTTTGCGATAAGATGTGCAGCGCTATTCAAGAAGATCCCCTCTCACTCAATTTTTTAGCCGGTCAAGTTAGCAAGCTAAAATACAGGTTGGTGAAATTCACGCATGAATATTAAATTTTGACATAAAAATAACAGTTGCACATTTCAATTTCACAGTGATTCTATATTCGTTTCAAAACATCAGATCGAATTGGAACCATGTAACATCTTGTTAGTAATATTTCACTCTATTCCTTTTCATTTTTTCTATAGGAGTGTCGTGGCGAATTGACCAGCGAAACTCTCGCCTCTACCTGTTCAACATACAGGGTGTCCAGAAAACGGAGGATAATCTTACAACTATTATGACCTATATATGACCTAATTTTTTTATTAAAAGATTTCGAGATTTTCACTTTTTGTCAATGAAAAACAGGCTCGTGTCATTTCAATAAACATAAGTTGTTAAGACACACAGTATCCCATCTCACACAAAATGTTTTTCAGATGGCTGAGAAACCCACATAAAACTGTACCAAAGACTAAATCTTGATAAGTTCGTTTCCGATGTTTGTTCCAATGTAAGTACCTTTAACCAGGCTAGGCTGTGCATTCCATCGATATTCCACAGTAAATTCACAGATGTAGCCAAACAGACCAAGAAAGATGTTTCAACTTTCTGGCAAAATTAGATTAACTGTAATATGAAGACAATCTGTCAGTACTTTTAACCACGTTATTTTATTTCCCAATCAATATGTTTCAAAACTTACCAAAATATGTAGTATATAAAACAACTTCTGTACAACTTTTTAACGAACACAAAGACAAATCGACAACAGCGCAGACGTTCGCAGAGCTACAAAAACGATATCCGGCCATATCGTTATGTCTTTCTCATCAGCGAGAAGAGGTTTTGTGTAATCTAAGCTTAATAAAGCAGGGTCATTGCAGAAACGAAAGAAAAAATATGTGAAGCTCCAAGAAGTTATAAAAAAAACTCAACCTAAAATTGCACGTGATAGCAAAAAACGGCAAGCAGATATAGATTCAGCATGTTAAACTCTTCATATAAAGTGTATTTTTATATGGAGGAGGATTTCGTTGCAGTCAAAGCTTTTATAGACGTCACATTCGGGAAAAATGTTGAGAAACATATAGGTAATGAAGTTATTTATATCTTGAATTCTATTATTCTAACGGAATGCAATAATATTTGCTATAACCTAGCAATAGTAAATTATTGTACATGTGCAAAAACAATTGTAAATTGCTCAAGAAACAATTGAGTTACATTCGGCCAGACTATGAAATGTTATTTTGATTCTACTATAGTTTTCGCAGAAATCGTCACATTACCAGCACTTATACAGGGTGTTCCTTAGTGATATGCGAATATTTAAGGGTGCGAATCTACATGAAAAATTAATGTTAGTTTGGTTTATAAGCTATGGTCCAAAAATATTTCCTTACAAAAACTCCGGGTGTTGAAGTTTTAAGAAAAAAATGGAAATTAATTAATATTTTCAGAACCGCTTCAGATATTTCACTGATATTTAGTACGTGGTGAAAGTTAATAAAGTTGCATATTTTCAATGCAAAAATAGTTTTTAGCTTTAGCAGTGGCGTGCATACGGGTATTGACTACGATATTTTTAAAAAAAATTGTACGCCAATGGTTTTTTGCCAAATAAAAATTATTTTTGCATTCCCCGTTCAATTCAAAACAAATTATCGCTCTTGAATTGTTTGCCTTTGATTCGCCATTTTTGAGTACAAAAATAAAATATGTCACTGGCTTTTGACATCTGACAAATCTCTGTTATTCAAATCTGTTCGCTGTGACATCTTTTTCATTCTTTGGTTTTTACAATCTTGTTAATAATGGTGAATTATTCAAATGCATTACGTATATGGTAATAGTGAGCAAGCCAGATGGATATATCACCAGAGATATCCCGATCGTGCTTTGCCAGATAGTCGAACCTTTTCTTATATGCATCGTCGTCTTCTTGAAACTGGTTCTGTCCGAAAAGGAACATCTAAAGGTAGACCTCTAAGTGTGCGAACACCTGAAATTCATGAAGCAGTGCTGCACGAAGTCGAAGAACATCCTGAAACAAGTACGAGGAAGATCGCTAGACACTTAAATATTTGACATCAAATTGTTTGGAGGATTTTAGTGTATTTTTTGTTATGTCCTTACCATATTTTAAGAGTACAGTCATTATTTCCCATTGATTTTCCAAGGCGTGTGGCCTTTTGTCAGTGGTATCTTCAAAAAGTTACATAAAATCCGCAATTTGAATCAATGACTCTGTTCACGCACGAAGCTAATTTTTCTCGAAATGTCATTCAGAATTTCCACAATAATCATTTGTGGGCAGAAAAAAAACCAATGCTGTAACCGAAACTTATTTCCAACACCAATTTTCGGTTAACGTATGGGCAGGAATTATTGGCAACCACTTTATTGGTCCATTCTTCTTGCCGGGACGACTTGACGGATTTTCCTCAACAATAGTTGCCTTTGCTGCTTGGCGATGTTCCGTTAGTAATAAGGAACAATATGTGGTATATGCATTATGATGCACCAGCGCATTTCAGTGTAGCGGTTCGTAATTATTTACAAACTGTTTATCCAAATCGTTGGATTTGCCGCGGTGGGCCTCAAGAATGGCTACCAAGGTCGCAAGGACCTCAACAGTGTAGATTTCTTTTTGTAAGGCTATCTTACGACACTAGTGTACACAAGTCCCATTAACATTGTAAAGGAATGAAGAGAAATAATACTTGCAGCTTGTTAGAGAATAAAAAACACTCCAAGGATATTTCAACGAGTATGCAAGGGGGCCATGTTTAACAATTTTTGTAATCATTTCGTTGGTTTTAATGTTATGGTCATATTGTCAGTTGTTGTTGTTCATTACCCCTGTTGTGTTTAATTTTTCCGATTAAATTCATTATAATTTTGCAAGTTAGACAATAGGAACGGTTTTTATTTCTTAACTCAAAAATGGCGCATCCAAGGAAAACAATTTAGAGGAGATTATTTGTTTAAAATTGAACGGAAAATTCAAAAAACCTGTCAACCTCGTGCCAGGGGGGTGGTTGTAGATGCACTTTCCTGCACGATGAATGTTACTTCTGGGGTTCGAAGTGGTTGTTGATTTGGAGGATTAGGGTGCTGGGGGAAATGAAAAGATTTTCAATTTCCAGAGCTTGCCCAAAATCTATTCAACTATTTTTAATAAATCACCTGAAGGGTGCTATTACAAAGTTTGCAACAAACTACCTGAAGGGAGCTATGACAAGGTTTGCAACACACCACCTGAAGGGTGCTATGACAGGATTTTCAAGTATTCAAAATGATCACAGTAAGCTCAAAATTTCACTCTACAATGGTTAATCTATCACGTAACAACAAATAAAAACGAACATTAGTGACTTACCAAGTTAGTATAAATAATTCATATTAAGTGAAATTAAAAAAACAAAAAAAATTATATATCAGGCTATGATTCAGCTAGTACTGACGTATGGGTCAGAAGCGTGGGTTGTAGATAAAAATATGTCACAAAAGCTTCTCTCAACCGAAATGATGTACTGGAGAAGATGTTCCGGTTTAACTTTACTTGACCATGTTAGAAATGAGACCATCAAAGAAAGAATGGAAGTCGAAAATACAATAATGGACGATATAACAGAGAGGCAGTTAAAATGGTATGGACACCTGCAACGAATGAACGAAGAAAGGATACCATTAAGGGTTTGGAAATGGACACCAGCACAAAGAAATAAGCGGGGAAGACCACGAAGGAAATGAATTTCAAACATCCACACCGCAATGGAAAGTAGAGGACTACATGAAGGAGACTGGAACGATAGGATACGATGGCGTATGGGTTGCGAGAAGCGACCTTAGGTTGCAGAAACTCGCCATATATATATATATATATATATATATATATATATATATATATAAGTGAAATTAGGTGCTTAAGTATATAGATGCAGTTCGACGGGGTTTCAGCACATGGCGTCTGTGGACATTGGCAACAGCTGAATCAGCTCCCTTCCTCAGGGGCTGCTTGGAACTCTCATTACAGGGCACGACGTGGAAAAGTCGTCAGGGCTTCATCTGAAGGTATCAGAAGTAGTTTGGTGGAGAAAACGTGAAGAAGACGAAAAGGTGGAAGAAGATGAAAAAGGCCTGAAACAAAAATCCAATATGGCGCCGGGTTCCATTTTAACGCAAGCCGAATTGCTTACGTCTGTTGGAGTGTGGCCTTAAAGTGTCGGCTAGAACGCCGTAAAAGCGTCGAAGACTCCCGTCTCCCACATCCCCGTAGGATTATATGAGACATAAAAAGGAAGAACGCTTAGACTTCATTTGGCGTTAAGATCCTTCAACTTGGACACGGAACACAAAGTTCGAAAGAAGCAATGAAGCAATGGAACAACAGCGGACTGTTCCCGGACTGAAAGGACCGGACACTTGTCAAAATGTAACATTGAGGTTAGGAAAGAAACGAAGACGTAAACAATTCTCAGATGAAGGGGCCTCAACTACAAAATGAGATAATAGGTGGAGAGTTACGAATAAACCATAGAGAAAATCTAAAGGTAGTTAAATTAGAAATATGTCTACCCTTGTTTAGTGCTTACGATTATTGCAGGGTCACGGCAGTTCCTACAAGGTTTTCAAATTAAACCCGTAACAAACCATTTGTAACGCTTCCTTTCCGCAAAAAGTCCAGAAAAGATGGAATGCAATGAAGATTCCAACCTTTCTGCACAATCACAGAAAGGGGGTTACAATTAGCTTCCGGTAGCTCAGTCGGTGGCATGAAGACATCTACAGGCGTGTAGCTGTGTGTCGACCATGGCATGGCTAGAGGATAGAAGAACAAACAGAACACAAAAATTTAACAGATTTTATTTAACAAAAAAAAAAAGCATTTCCATTACATTACAATTTTACAGTTTAAAAGAACAAAATAAGTTTTACATCTTTGGCGCTGCTATAAAACTATCAACTTATCTTTCGCTGGTCCATTTTGACTCGACTGAAGCGAGGATGGCCAGGTGCTTGAAGGGGAGGTCCCAGTTATGAGGGGTGACCTCACATATAGTGGCTTCATAACCAGTTGTAGGCGAAGTTAAAGGCGATGGCGCTGCCAAGGCACATGCATGGGTGGAAATATTGGCCAAGCAAGGCACAGTCAAAGACTAAGGCAAAGGGAAAGGGAAAGAGAAAGAGAAAGAGAAAGGGTGTGGCCCCAATCATTTTGTCCTATACGGACACACATTCTACAAAATTCTAGCACATGGTGCTATATGACCTTGTGCTACAGAGAAGAAAATTTTTAACTCTTGCTCGATCGGCGGCTCAAGTGAAAAGGAAGCGCGAGGAAGATCGCAGATCAGGAACTCCGCATCAAGCGCTCCAAGCGGAAAATTTTCCAAGTAGAAAAGCTAGAGATGGGATTAATGAAATGATAATCGAGAAGTGATTTAATAAATACGATCGGACGGTGAAACCGTTACACTCGCCCCAACTTAACCAGAAAAAAAATTCGAAGAAGCATTCAAGAATTTTTTTTTATTTGACATGGAAATTGAAAGTTATCACGGAAGGACAAATGTACAACCATTCGACCAGATAACAAGTAGCAAAAGTAAGGTAGAAACAAAAATGTTAGAAGAGAATTGGAAGAAAAAGGGATAGCCTCAAGTCTACCAAACAAGAGGGATGGTTATAGCACCAACTCGCTGAAAAGTACAGTGAAGTTGCACTTAAAAAAAACTATCATCATATGATGAACAACCCAAAACATAAAACATCGTCATACCTAAGACGAGAAAAATAATAAACCAAAAACTTCAGCAGTAGTCCAAGCATGAAGTGAGGAACCACAATGGCTTCCAAAATGCACGACTGACTACTAAAAACTTCAAAACTAAGTAAGTACCTAAACCATAAGAGGTACTGAAAAA